GCAGCCGCCTCCGCAGCAAGCTCCACCGAAACGCCTCGACGCCGAGCGGAATGTCGGCGACCTACGCGCAACGAGATCGGTCCGACTGTGAAGGCGCCGCGCGCAACCGCCGGCAGAGCGCTCTGGCGCTAGCGGCCGTGAGCTCGTCGCCCGCCAGGTAGGGCGTGCCGGCCGAGCGCAGATGCGCGTCCAGCCTGCCAAACTGCGCCGCCGCCGCCTCAGCCGCGCGCGCCACGGTCTCGTCACAGAACTGCATCTGCCTCTGAGCGCCGTGCGCTGCGACGGTGACGGGTGCACCGCCGGCGGGCATCCTGACGAGGTGCGTCATGAGGTTGCCCATAAAGTCGTCGTGGCCGTAGATGTTTGCCCCCGGGGCGAACGTCGAGAGGTGGTAGTCCATCCAGGCGGAGGCGCGCGCAGCCTGCGCCAGCCGGTAGCCAGCCTCCTGCGGCCTGTAGGCCGGCACGGCCGGCCCGAGCAGGCTCGGCTTGTAGACTGCGGCGAGGTAGCGGATGATGCTGGCGCTCTCCCACAGCTGCGCGCCGGTGGCGCTATCGGAGAGCGCGGGGATCTGGCCGAAGGGCGAGCAGCGAACAAACCCCGGGTCCTCGGTGCCTCCGAAAGCGGTGCCGCCGAGCCGGCCGCTCTCTCCGAGCGTCGCGCTCGTGAGCCTCAGATCAAAAGGGACGCCAGTCTCGTGCAGGCACCAGAGGACACGCTGCGTGTTTAGCGAGGAGCTGCGGCCGTACAGCACGAGCCTGCGAGTGGTGGCCTGTTTCATTGAAATTAGTCAACCGAGGTCCTTTGATAACTCTTCATTCGAGGGCTTCCATGACGTCGGCGAGTTGGGCAACAGGAAGCACGGCTGGCTGGCTGGGAGCAAACAGGGGCTCCGTTGATTATATCGGTTTCATCAAAATTAGTCAACCGATCAAAAAAGAATTTTAGCCAAAACCATTGCCCCCTTGCTCCATCTAGCGCATCACACTCCTAAAAAAATCCCTGTCGTGTGGTGACGGCGTGCGCCGTTCTCCCATCCCTCCCTTGGGTTCTCTGTTTTCTTTCTTTCTTTTCTTTTTGCTCCAAGCCCCGCAATACGGAGACGCACCGCAGCGCAACGGAAAACACTCCTGGTAGCCCGGCTAGCTCTCTCTCTCCCGCTGGTAGAAAAAAAACTCCCTCGCGCAAAAGGGGGAAGGGACTGGCGCCACTGGAGCCGCCTAAGCGACTCCCGCGAGGACGGCGAGGCACTTAGCTCCGTGCACTCGACCGCCCTCGCCGCTGGCAAGCTCATTGAAGAGAGAGAGTTGTTTGTTTGTCAAGCTCATTCAAAGAGAAAACCCGAACCCTTCCTGGGCGTGCTCGCTGCGGCTGACGAGTACTTCCTGGAGCACGTCGCCGCCGACACGTTGGCAAACATACTTTACAACCGGCACCTCCGCGGCAAGATCATTGGTGAGAGCCCTCGCTAGTGACGGTCCTCAACGAAAAGATTATCCTCGGCCTGACCTTAAGCCGCCGGTGCTCAGTCCCCCTCCCCCCCACCCCCCCTCCTAAGCTGGTACTAAAAGGAGAAAAACTGCTCGCAGCTAAGGAAACCTAAGCGGTAAACGTTTCCACACTCACAAAGTGGTGGGGCAAGGGGGCGCGACCCTCGCATCTCCACGCCCGGGACACGGGCAGGAGCCCCACGGCATCCAAAGAGGTTGGCTCCGAGCGGGTCGGGGTGGTCCTTGGTCAGCCACGGGTAGGAGAGCGCGGCGACGGCAAGGTCATCCGTGCCGGTCGCCTCGACGAGGTCGGCGAGGGAGAGGAAGGCCTCCTTGGGCAGCGCTTGGCGGTGGTTGAGGACGCGTCGACCTTCCCACCGGCCGCCCGCCTTGGCGATGATCCACTGCGCGTCGAGGACGGCGACGGCGCCGCTCTCGAGGACCGGCTCCAGGGCGTCGCCGCCGAACTTGCGCCACACCTTCAGCTTCTCCTCGCTCACGCCGAGATGGCATCGATGGCGGAGGGGAGGGCGACGGCCGCTTTGCTGTAGCAGCGGTTTCGGCGGAGGGGAGGGCGGCGGCCGGCTGCGTCGGCGCGGCGGTGTCGGCAGGCGTCAGGACGTCGCGGCGGTGAAGGCAGGGCAGCGACTTGAAGCAGGGACGAATCGACAGCATTTGACTGTGGCTTTGCCTGTGGGTGTCTCGAGTTCCCAAGTGCGCTCGCCCCTCCTCGAGCACTGCGCCTCGCATATCGAGACACACATATCGATGTTGACTCGACGGGCGCATGGTGCCATGGTCCATTGAGGCATCACGTCTCCATGCGCCCGTCAAGTCGGAGCCAGTCTGCGGCGACCACAGCGCTCACCGCAGGGATAGGCGAGCTTTTCAAGAGTCAAGCGATTGCGCGAAATCCCACAGTGGTGGATTTTGGGGCGCTGTCCACCCCCTACCGACTACCGATACCGTTGCGCGATGGACGTTTTCAAGAGATTAGCGTGTCAGGCCTCAGGGTGAATTGGAACTAGCCGTAGGCCGGGGGGGCGGCCCCCGGGGCCGGCAGTTATGCTTAAAAGAAGTCACACTAGAGGTGTCCCCTACCATCACACTGGTGTGAATACGTCCCGAACCCATACTTGGGACCCGTACCATATGCTCGTGCTATCCTGCCCTATGGCGTATGGGAGGCAGAGGCAGGGATGGGGGGAGGGGGGGGGGGGGGGCGGGGCAAAGGAAGGTGCTGTCAGACCGGCGACACGACGGCGTCCAGATGTCGCGGGCACCAGCAACCGCGAAGCCGCGTCCTGGCAACGCATGTGCGGAACCCCTTGCCCGTGGTCGCAGGCCACAAGCTAGCGTGCAAGGGTCCACACAAGGGTGCCGTTGCCCAAAGCATGGCAGTAGCTGTCCTCCACGGCGGTGGACGGCCCGGTTGCAAGCATGTTGCTCTGCAACAAGACTGCCACGTCGTCGAGCGCCGACGCCGGGTGGCACAGCACGTCGAACTTCCCCTCCGCGCCAACCACCGGGTAAAGCTTGGCGCCCGGAGTCTCGTGGCAGAGGAAGAAGTTGTCGCCTTCCTCGTGGCACACGAACGGCGTGTCCATGGGGTTGAGCTCGCTTTTGATCGTGGTTGAGCTCTGCAGGGCCCCCGTCGTGACGTAGGGGTCGTCCGCGACCGGGGTGCTGTGGTTTGCAGCCCACGCCTGTATGGCCTCGTCGGAGTCGGAGCAGAAGACCGGCAGCGGACCCCCCTGCGCCGCGGCGGCGACGGCGTGCGCGCTGCCGGGGGCCTTGAGCCTCATCAGCCCCCGCCTCAGCGCGTCGTCCGCTGCTGCATCGCAATCGATTGGGGTTTCCTGGACGCGGCCCAGCCATGCTGAGACGGCCCCAGGTGCGGCATGGCACGTGCAGATGCGGTCCAGCTCTTCTTGTTCCATCGGAGGCAGTGGTGCGATGCAGAGGCCTTCGAGCGAGCCAGACGCGGGTCGCACCACCGCGCACGCGCAGTCGCTGGGGGCAAACGCACGGATCCCGCCGGGCAGCGCGGCGCAGAGCAGGGCGAGCGCGGCTCGCAGCATGCCGACTGCACACACGGGGAGCGCGCCGATTTCGACTCAGGCGCTGTAAAAAAAATTTTTTCAAGGGTTGCCGGCCGGGTTGCTGCGCAAATCTCACGCTGCGCTAGGCTCAGAGCGAGTTCGCGCTGCGCTAGGCTCAGACGGCGTGCGTGCGCGGGCCGCCGGGGTGACGGCGGGTGTGAGGAGGACCCCACCTCCTTCGGGCTCGGCGGCTTGTCGGGCTCTACCACTACCACTACCTCAGCCCTCAGCCGAAGCTGGGGCCGGTCCCGTAGGCCGTCCGCAGCCGAGAGAGCCCCCGCCGCCCGCGTCCCGTGTCCCGATGAATTCGACGGCGGACGGGCGCGGGCGGCGCGGGGCCGGGGGGTGGCGGTGGGACACACGCGCTGGCGCGCACGGCAACCGGGACTTACACGCGCGACACGAGGGACTGCGTATCCTCGCCTGCCTCGGGGGAACATCACCTCAGAGAGGCGCGTGTCGAGAGCTCCGATACATTGAGGTTTTACGCCCCTCTCTGTCACTAGATCTGAGGGCGAGTTGACGAGACACGACCCAATGCCAAATTCGAGAGAGATTTGTTGTTTGTCAAATTCGAGAGAGATTTTTAGCAATACCAAACAACTCTAACACTCACACGTAATTTTGTTTTGTCAAATTCGTGCCAAATGCGCAAGCACGCGCGGTTCACTCTCAGCCACGCGGGACGCGGTGGGTATTTCTTTTGGGGCAGCGTCCCGAAGGCGATCGCCGAGCATGTTCTCCTTTCTCGGCGCAAGGCCGGCGGCGGGCGAGGACGAGGCGGCCGCCGAGGCAGAGCCGCTCGGGTCCGGCGCCGAGCGTCCGCCTGGGCGCCCCCCCGAGGCGGAGCCGGGAGGCGAGCAGCTTGCGGCGCAGCGCTTGCCGCTTAGCGAGCCGCGCAGCTTCACCTTTGAAGAGGCCGGGCCCCTTGGCATCACGAGTCTTATGGACGAGTCTTTCGGTGGGACGGTCATCACGGCTGTTAAGGGCGCGGCGCTCGAGCAGGGCGTGCCTCGGATGTCCGTTATCCTTGCGCTCAACGGCAGCGATGCGAGTGGGCTCGCTCGTGCCGAACTGCGAGCGATGCTCAAAGTGCGGCCACTAACGCTAACAGTGCGGCCGCCGGCGGACCTGCGAGGCGAGCAGCTGGAGGGACGAGACCTGCAGGGCGTGACCTGCAGTGCGGCCTCCGGCGTGAGGCTGGCGGGCGCGTACCTCAGGGGATCTGACCTGCGCGGCGCGGATCTCGAAAAGGCGGTGCTGCAGGAGGGGTATGTCCTCGCCCCGCCGGACGTGGAGGGCCTCGGGGGAGCGGCGCTCGGCAAGGCGTGGGAGGCGTGGCGGAGGAACAAGCGTGGGGCAAGGCGCTGCGGAACAGGCGTGGCGGCCGTCCTCTCTGGCGCCAAGCTGGCCGGCACCAACCTGCGGGATGCCGACCTGCGTAAGGTGAAGCTCGACAACGTGGAGGGGTCCGAGGGCGTCGTGCTGCTGGCGGTGGAGGGGAAGAAGGGGAAGGAGCTGGGCGAGGCGTGGATGGAGTGGGGCAAGGCGCTGCGGAACGAGCCGGGCGAGTCGGTGCGCGTCGCAAATCTCTACAAGGCGCAGCTGGAGGGGGCAGAACTCGAAAGGGCGCAGCTGCAGGGGGCAGATCTCTACCAGGCGCAGCTGCAGGGGGCAGATCTCGAAAGGGCGCAGCTGCAGGGGGCATATCTCCGCTGGGCGCAGCTGCAGGGGGCATATCTCCACGGGGCGCAGCTGCAGGGGTCAGATCTCTTCGGGGCGAAGCTGCAGGGGGCAGATCTCTACCAGGCGCAGCTGCAGGGGGCAGATCTCGAAAGGGCGCAGCTGCAGGGGGCATATCTCCGCTGGGCGCAGCTGCAGGGGGCATATCTCCACGGGGCGCAGCTGCAGGGGTCAGATCTCTTCGGGGCGAAGCTGCAGGGGGCAGAACTCCAAAGGGCACAGCTGCAGGGGGCAGATCTCCACACGGCGCAGCTGCAGGGGGCAGATCTCGAAAGGGCGCAGCTGCAGGGGGCAGAACTCGGGGGCGCCGACCTGCGCGGCGCCGACCTCACCGGCGCCAACCTCGCTGGCGCCAACCTGAAGAATGCCGACTTGCGCGGCACAGTCCTCATCGGCGTCAACCTCGAGAAGGCCGACCTCGAGGGCGCCAAACTGCAGGGCGCGAAGTTCGAGCGCGCCGTCCTCGCTGGCGTCAAGCTCATCGGCGCCAAGTTCTCACCCTTCAAGCCGCCCGAGGCGCGCCCTCCGACGCTTGCGCGGGCGTGGCGGCTGCGGGCGGTCGGCGGGCAGGCCGCGAAAGGGCTCTACGCGGCGCTCGCCGGAGGCGATAGCGACGGCGGCAGCGACGACGAGGGGGCGGAGGAGGAGGAGGAGGAGGAGGGGACGGCCACGAACATCGTCGCCAACGCGCTTGAGGCGGGCGTGACGGCTCTCGTGAAGGCAGCGGCGCCGGCGCTCGAGCTCGTGGAGGAGATCATCGGCAAGCTCCGCGCTGCGCTCAACGGCTGCATCGCCGTGCTCAAGGCCGCGGGGGACTGCGACAAGCCGGCAGAGTTTCTCTGCGACGCCACCCGCAAGCTCGTGCGCTTGCTCGTGTCGGAGCTGCTGCAGCCGCTGCTCGCTGTCTGCAGCGATCCTCCCGACTCTTGGGCCTCGCTGCGAGAGGGCGTGCTGCAGAAGCTCGAGCCGCAGCCCAAGGAGCTGCTCCGCACGTTCGCGGCGTCGATCGCGCCGTCGGTGGAGCCAGAGGCGACTGCCGAGGCCGAGCCGCCGCCGGCGGCGGCGGCAGCGGCGGCGGAGGGGGGCGAGGCCGCGGGTGAGCTCCTCCGAGAGCTCTTGCGCCTGATCGCCGAGGAGGCGACCGCCATGCTGCCGGCACTCGAGGAGTCCGTCGAGGCGGTCGTGTCGAAGACCCTTCAGATGCTGTCATTGCACGTCGAAGACGTCGAGCTCGGACTCGTACGCGATTTCACAGCCGTCGCAGACCGCCTCGAGAAGCATCTCGAGACGGTGCTGATCGAGGAGGGGATCGGCAAGCTCGTGTCCAAGTTCCTGCTCGGCCGCTGCGGCGCTCATTATGCTGTTCCTCTCGATAGAGAGCAAGCGCTGACGATGAACGGAAGTCTATCAATAGGCGCTGTCCTCGAGAAGCTGAGCGACGTCGCCTCCGAGCAGCTGAAGCTGGCGGAGCAGATGGAGAAGACGATCGCGGCGAAGGTCGCTAGTGTTGGCGACGCCGCGAACCAGAAGCTGCTCAAGTTCGTCGGCGGCAAGGGCAGCATCAAGAGCCGCGTCGTCAAGTCCGTCCTCAGCGCCGCGACAAAGTACGAGGTCAGCGCCGGCGGCTTCCAAGGGAGCTTCGACATGCTGCGGCTGGCCCTTCGCCGAAGCCCGATCCGGGCCCGCACCCCCGTCTCTTTGCCCCCCCCCCCCCCCCCCCCCCCCTCCCTAATCACACATGCCTCCGATCCGCAGCTCAACGTCGACGACAGCGAGCTGACGTACCTGCTCGACACGCTCGTGAAGCTCGAGGCGCGTGCTGATTTATTACTCATTTGAGAGAGCACGTCTCCTCCTCACCCCCCCCCCCCCCCCCTCCCCCTCGGAACAGGCGCTGGAGGTGAAGAGCGACACGTGGAAGGACGCGGCGTCCACCTGGATGTCCGTCCTCGAGCTGCGGCGCAAGATCGGCGTCGAGCGCGGCATCGCCGTCATCGACTGCATCGCGGGCGACCAGAAGGTTCGCTCCACTACTCTCCTCCCGGACGCTCCTCGTTCACAGTCAGTGTCCAGTGACTCGGTTGCCTATTCCGTTCGCTAGGTGCTCGACGCGCTCGGCGCCGCCAAGGCGCTCTTCGACATCGAGGGCGACGCGCCGCCCGACATCTTGGCGCGCCGCTAGACAGAACTCGCCCTCTCTTTGTGACCGCAACAGCGACTGAAAGTGGAACGATTGCCCTACACGGCGCGATCGACACTCAGCCCCTCGTGACAGCGCCGCTCTCGGCCCTCCCTCCGCCTGCAGGCGCGGCTCAGCAAGGCAGCCGGCGGCCACATCCGCGCCAACGGCTACAGCTACCGCAAGAAGATCAACCTCGAGCTCGCGCGCATCCGCCGCGTGCGCGACCTGCAGATGCGCGGCGTGGCGCTCGTCGGGACGGCGATTGCGGCTGCGCTCATCTCGACCTTCAACTACCTCTACTCCGTCGCCGACGGCGTGGAGCCGTGGTGGCTGCCGCCGGCCGTCGTGCTCGGCGTCCTCTGCGTCCTCCTTCCCGCCGCGGCGGTCCTCGTCTACCTCCACCTCCTGCACAAGCGCAAGTCGGCGGGCTCGAGGCTGGGCGGCGGGCTCGGGCACGGCGCCTGAGCTTTCTCCACCGACCCCGGGAGGAGGGCCGCGCCTGGCCCTTAGTCCCTCTCTGCCGCCGCCGCGGCCTGTGCAAGCCTTGCCTGAGGGCTCGAGGCTGGGCGCGGCGGGCGCACAGGCGCTACGGACCTGAACGCGCGGGAAACGGGGATGTGACGCACTCTAGCGCGTCTAGGCTCTGGGCATGTCCGTCTAGGGTACCATACTTCCGCGGTGTGCTATGATGTAACATACTTCCGGGCCGGTGTGCGGCTGCGCCTGCGGGGAGCGAACCTTAACGACCGCCCAGAAGCTTTCTGAGCAAACCATCGGGCCAGGATCATCAGCATATGTCCCCTCCACAACATCGTGGGCGTTTGAGCGGTATTTGAGGAGCACCGCGACTCTGAAGTTCGGCCGGGTGGTCTGCAGACCCCCCCCCCCCCCCCGGAGCAGCAGAGGCTCCGTGGGGTCGAAAAGTCGACGCTGGGAGTCGCACTCGTCAAGCCATCGCAGCACCACGCGGTCCGCACGTACCGCCCACATCCCCTCCACCGCTGAGAAGGCGGGACGGACGTAAGATAATGAATCGATGATGCGATCAGGCGTACAAGCGCGATTGCACAAAGGGTGGAGGAGGGTCTGGCCACCACCGGGCGAGGGAGGCGGCGGGCCAAATGCCGGATCCGCTGTGCGCGTTCGTCGGTCAGGGCGCGGCGCTGACCGCGGCGGCCTGGGCCGCGGCGGCGGCGAACGCCGACGGCGGCGGACCATTCCAGCGGCTCGGCGAGGGCCGGGGCGCGGCGTTTCGGGAGGCGTGGACGGTGGAGGCGGTGCGCACCGTGCCCGCGGAAAGGCGGGCGGCGGCGGGCGACGCCGACGAGCTGTTCACGTACGCCCGTCCGCCCACGAAGAGGGAGAGGCTCGAGAAGGGCGAGCGGCGCGCCGAGCAGCACCAGGGGTGGGCCGATGCGCCGAAGGAGAAGAGGCGGAGGGCGGCGGAGGAGCAGACGGCGGCGCAGGCGGCGCTGCTGGGGCCGCTCGCGGCCGCGGACACCACGGCGTCGCTGGGAGGCGCGCTGATGCGGAGGCCGAGCGCCATCGTGGCGGCGGTGCTGCATCAACCCATCGCGGCGGAGAGGGCGGCGCCGATGCTCGCGCCGCTCGGCTACCACATGAACAGGCTATGCGACGACGTGCTGAAGCGGTGGCGCGAGTTCGAGCGGGAGATGAACCGGTCTGACGAAGACGGCGGCGATGCGGTGATGCGCTCCAGCTGGGCGAACGGGATGCGGGAGGGGTACCCGTGCCAGCAGCTCAGCATCCTGTTCCTGCAGTATCTGCTCACGAGCCGCATCCAACAGTCGCACGCGTCGCGGCGGAAGGGGTGTGAGCGCATCGGGCGGGGGTCGAACACGGTGGGGGGTCAGTTCAAAAACATGCAGAACCACGTCTGGCCGATGGTGTTTGGCCCGGCGGGCTTCCCGACAGGACAGGAGGCGACAGCGTACTGGCGACCCATCCGCGACCAGTTCTCGAGCCTGGTGGGAGGAGGGAGAGGGAGCGGCGGGGTCGAGCAGCTTGCAGGCGCGGCGCAGGCGGCGGCCAGTGCGACGCAGTTGGCGGTGGGCGCGAACGCGACCACCGCGGCGGCGGCTGGCGACGCGGCGAACCAGGCCGTGCAGCTAGCTATGAGGGCGGCGACGGCGCCGAGCTCGACGCGGGAGCATCTCGGCCAGACTGGACAGTATCAGCTGCAGGACGCGATGCTGTGCGAGCCGATCTCGGTGAACGAGGCGTCCGTGCTCAACGCGTACATTTGCTTCGCGCGGCAGACGGGTGCCCGCCCGGGGATGGCGGTCAACGTGGAGAAGGACTCGGTTGATCCGAACAGCGCGTGGGCCAACTGCGCGCCGCTCAGCTGGGAGGACCTGCTCGTCGGGAAGCTCGATGACAAGGACGGGGGGCTGAACCTGCCAAACGGCGGTGGCACGGCGTGGTTCTACTTCGAGCTCTTCTTCCGGCGGCTGAAGGGGTCGTACTTCTCAAACGTGCAGTTCGGGACGTCGGTGACGCCCGACTCGGATGAGATGGTGCGGCTCGGCACCGTGGCGCTGTGCCGGCTGCTGCTGCGACGAGCCGAGAATTGCACTTCAGCACAAGACGCGTCGCGAGACGCCCGTGCCGGAGGACGAGGCGCGGGTCATCTTTCGGGCGCGGGGGGACGTCGGGCGCGGCAGGGCTACCTTTCAGGCGCGGGCGCGCGGGCGCGGCGGGCGCGCCACGGCATCGCCGGCGCTGGCGAGCAAGAGCGGCGAGAAGCTATCGCGGCGTGGGAAGAAGGCGGTGGCGAAGGAGGCGGGCGAGGTGGTATCACGCGAGGAAGGCGAGGAAAATGAGGCGTGGAATTGCAACCGCTTCCCCCTGATTTTGTCAGCTCTGACTGATGACGTACGCTACCGACATCAATCGGGAGGCGGCGAGACGAAATAGACTCGTATATATACAGATTTGGCATCCATCGACCATCCGATCCATGCCTCTGCCGGGTGGCCCGCCCCGACGACCCCTGGAATTGCGACTCGCCGCTTTCCTCCCGCTGGCGCAAATTTGACCCCTGGCTGGAATTGCGACGCTCGCCGCTTCCCCCCCCGCAGTGATTTTGTGAGCTCTGACTGATGAGGTACCGGCACGCGGCACGCCCCGATGGGGGACTAGCACTAGCCGTCTTCCACATGCTCGGGTCCCTGCTGCTCCTAATCTCTTCGTACATCCTCCTGCTGATCTCCGCGCAAAGACCAAAGTCCTGCTCCCTCCCTCGTCTCGCCCTGCGCGTCTGCTCCCCGCCTCACCGTCTTCTGCCCTGCGTCGTCTGGCGACGGGACCTCCATAGTCGGTCGAGGTCGCCGCCCTCCTCGTGCCTCTTCCCAACGTTCAAATTACGGTTTAGTAAACCAACTCCGTGCTCAAAAAAGAATTTTACAACAGGCACGGGACTGGCGCGCACTGGCACTACGGCTAGCGCAACACACACACATACACCGTAGACACTCCTGATAGCCCGGCTAGCTCTCTCTCTCCCGCTGGGACCGGCACAGAGAAGGAGAGCCAGAGCGCTGTCCGGAGAGATGCATGGAGCGAGTGAGAGAGTAGAGACCGCCGCGCGCTGCACACGAGTCCACATGCCGTCCTCGCCTCCTCGCGCCGCCCGCTCACTCGGCCTTCTTGGGGAGGGGCAGCGAGGTGGTGAGGCGGTTGACGGCGGCGACGGCCTTGCCTACGCCCGCCGCGATGGGCACGACCTTGCCGATGACTGTCTCGCCGCCCGCCGCCGCCTCCGCGTCCTCCCTCTCGAGCGCCTAGGGGGGAGGCGGCGGTGGTGGGGAACGGGGGCGGTGTGGGGGGCGTGCGGCCTCTCCCGGGGCATGTGGCTCGTGGAGGGAAGGCCCGGTCGGGTTGTCATCCGTTGGCTGGCGCGGGCGTCGCCCCGTGTGCTGAGTGGAAGCCCTTTTGTGCGGCTGTCTGCGGTGGTGCGTGTGTGGCCAGAGCACTGTCTGCGGTGGTGCGTGTGTGGCCAGAGCACTGTCTGCGGCGGTGCGGGTGTGTGCCCAGAGCGCTGTCTGCGGCGGTGCGGGTGTGTGCCCAGAGCGCTGTCTGGGTCTGCGGTGGTGCGGGTGTGTGTCCAGAGCGTCTGCTGTGCGTTCGCACCGCGCGCTCCGCCGTCACGCGGCCGAGCGTCTCCTCCACCCCGCGCTGCGACGCGACCAGCGCCTGAGGCGCGGAGGGTGTGAACGGCGTCTCTTCACAGCTCGAGGGCAAAACCCGTGAGCAGGCATCGCATGCGTCTCGTCGGACGTGCGCACGCAGTCACGAAACAGTCATGGCTGCACGCCGTATTGAGACTAATGTTTCGAGTGGGCGCGCGGGGGGGGGGGCG